AAATTTATCAGTTGTAGCTGTTGTGCTTTTTTTCAAATAAGCGTCCAGTGTAAAGAGGTAAACAGAAATGTTAGAATTGCCAAATAGCATTAAATGTTGATCAAATGTATTTTAAACGTTGTTGCTACACTTATAATATATTTTGTTCAGTGTTCATTGTCTTTTAATATATAGTGGACCCCGAATATATATATATATATATATATATATATATATATATATATATATATATATATATATATATAATCTCGCTACTATTAGAATTAAAACAAATATAGTATGCATTGTTAATTGAGGTTGGAGACTGTGTTTTCAAAGAAACAATTTATACCTCTTCATTATGTTGATGTTCTATATCAAGTGTAGGAGTTAACACTCTTATCTCGGAAGCATTTCATTACATTGTTTAGCATATTCTTATTATGTGGATGTGAGTTGGGGGCAAGGGCTAAAGTAAAATAAAACAATCACTTTTACAGACAGTGGTTAGAAAGAAAGAAAGAAAGAAAGAAAGAAAGAGGTCGATTGTCAGCTGAGGGAATGGTGACACATTACACTTTCGTGCATATATACTCATAAGCATATACATATATAGCTGCACATATACACACGCTCATATACGCATCCGTCACACCAAAAGAGTCACTTTTGATATCTTTTGAATGAAACCGAATTTTATGGAATTATCTCGTGTTTTCCCCCCATAAATCATCTTCAGATGATAATAGAAATAAATCATTTCCTATAGCAGGACCACGCAAGAAGGCTGGAACACATTCGTCCATCGTCTTTTCAGATTTTTACTGATTTCTTTTCCTGTTTTCTAACGTGTTTTATTCTTTAGTCAGATCCATGCCATTTGTTCGGTAACAAAAGACATGAAATTGTCTCCGAGTTACACGGATAATCATTAAAAGAAGCCACTTTTCTTCTCTGTTATTGATAAGAAGTTGGAAAATAAAGAAGGAAGGCGGAGGAATCTGAAATAAAATAGAAAATGGAAGACAAAACAAAGTTGGGAGGAAGTGAATTTAAGAAAAAAAAATAAACAGAGAGGGATAAAAAATTGAACGGCGAAATTAAATAAGAAAAGAGAAAGAACGTGATAAACAAGACAGAAATTAATAGAGAAGAAAAGGAAAAGAAGAAAAGTAGAGGAAAGGAAGACGGCAGAAAAGAAGGTCAAAGGATTTTTTTCTCATGATAGTGAAAGGAAGAAAAAAGTTAATAAAGAGGAGAAAATAAAAAGGTAAAAGAAAAAAAAAACTTAACGAAAACTAAAGGAAATTGGATTAGTAAAAAATTAATGCAAAAAAAAATCGTTTTATTGAAATCCCCAAAAAAACGAAAAAGAAAAGGAAAAAATAAAAAAACACAACCTAGAAAGTTTGAACCTAAACAATATTTTCTTAAGGCTGTTCTTTTGTAAAGAATTATTTTCCTTTGGAAAAGATTAATTCTGGTAATTGTAATTTTAAGACCCTTTTCGAAATTTCCGTTCTTCCCGTCGAACGGACGACGCAACATTACAAAGCGAGTATAATAATGAAGATTGCCGATGAGAACAATGTCGTTGGAAATGTATCTTGATAATTCATTGAAAGAAAATCTCTCGTTACGTGATCTCTCTTGAGTAACCCTAAGAATAAATCACAATCCTTCCACTCCTCGGTACCCAGTTATCTATTATCCCCGCAAACTATACAATCCTTGCCTCGTAACGATATAAATAGCATTTTATATCCAATTACTAAGTCCAGAAGGTTACAGGTATAGAACACCCAGTTAGGATCGAAATCACTACAATAGTAATATTACTTGGGATTCGATTTCTAACCATTACTCCATGAGGATGTGGGGTGATGAAGTGAATAAACGGCCCGGAAGGAGAAATCGGAGAAAAGAGTTCGAATTTCAGTCTGGTTCGTTACATTTATTTAAGCGCAAATACCCTGGAGAAAGATATAGATCCATCTCCCCCTAGCTAAGGATTAAATAGTAGGATTAAATCTAAAAAAATCACTGTTATTCTAAAAAAATATGTTAATATATTATTCATTTTCAAAAATAAAAGGTATTCTTACATTCAAAAATGTTTCGGTTTTAAGTAATCCAAAAAGAGTTGATAGACCGTAAAATACAAATCAATGAGCCATGACGAAGCACTTTTTAATACACGTGCCTTAGTTTGAAACAAAGCTGAGGCAGAGCCCCGAAATCAAAGGACAAGCTAATTGGTCCACGGGATAAACATGTTCACCATTGCACCATGATAGATATTTATTTAGTTCAACTGAATTTGGCCCAAATCGTCTAGCACTTTGGTTATAGTAAGGATCGAACCTATGATACAGAAGTAATGACCGACGCGATTAGCCTGCTGATCTTTACACCTAGGCAAGTTGTCAGCATTTGTCAGATCATTATTCAAAAGTGTATTTCATTGTGTGCTTTCAAAAGAAATGTACAATTTATTGTTATAACGAGAACTACCGGAAGAAGAAAAAAATGTGATTGAGGCGCGAGGTGGCGTAATGGCTATCAACATGGAGAAAGGAATCGGCGAATTGCGTTCGAATCTCGATTGTAGTTGCTTACGTTTACTTTGCCCGAATGCAGTTGAGAGAAGCATAACTTCCATTCACCGCACATGGTGTCCCATTGCAAGATATCATGACAAAAGATTTTGCTACTCATATGCCACTATATGTGAACAAGAAAAGAGGGATCACTTCGACAAACAAACCACGCTCCTATAACTCCTCCCTCCCCTTCCTTTATCGCCGTGTTGGTAAATATATTTTATTTCCGATTACTTTCAACATGACATGTCATCATCAGGGTATGGTTAATTACAGGATAAATATTGTAGTATTCATTGTTATGAAAGACAAAAATTGTTGTGGTCATTTGAATATTAAATTTCTTATATGTGGAGTGAGGAGTGCTGTGTCATAGCATGGCTGCAGAACACCTTTTAAGGGGAGGTATTTCTGAGTTTGTACTAAAAAGTTTTCGGATAGACCCACTTCTCAAAATCTGGCAAAACATCAAACGTTTAGGGAGCAATTCGATGTGGCGTCATGGTTAGCAAGCTTGTCTCGCTAGATCTGTTACGATTGTAATAGTTTCATCGTCAATGGATGCCGCACACATTCATCTTTATACCAGATCTAGGTTATACTTAGAAAATCACCATCACATGTTTTGGGGTTTGTTGGTCGATCTAAGAAATGTTCAGCACATTCTTATATATATATATATATATGTGCTGAAAAAAAAAATATATATATATATAAATGTGCTGAATATATATATATATATATATATATATATATATATATATATATATATATATATATATAAAACAGAACTAAAAGTTTTATTTATTAGTGTTTGAGTACAAATCCTTTAAAATAGTTAAATCAATCTCTACCGCCCTAGACGTCGAAAAGTTCAACTAAAATATATGCCTCCCTATGTGTTCCCAGATATATTTATTTATATAACGCTTATTGTACTAAGAAATAATAACGAATTGAAAAAATACATTAATCACTTCATATATATATATATATATATATGTGTGTGTGTGTGTGTATATGTATATATATATATATATATATATATAGATAGATAGATAGATAGATAGATAGATAGAGGTGTGTGTGAGAGAGAGAGAAAGAGAGAGAGAGAGTGAGAATATTTTCGATGTATACTATAATCAATTTCATGCAGAAAGTTTTCATCCTGCAGATGATTGTGTCCAATCTCAGTAGTAAGTAATCCTTTTACTAGTATGCAGTTTCACACACGAAAACTATGCAAGGTGGGAAACGCTGTAAAACTTTCCAAGACATAAATTTCGAATAGCCTTTCTTTATATTTTCAGTTTCTTTTTTTTATGTCGATATAGTCCGCAACCTTTTTTTTTTACAACTTGATATGTTATTGCCATTTATATTTCTTTCTGCATTTTGGGGGGAATTTTTTACAAAAAAAAAAAAAATAAAAATAAAAAAAAAATTACTAAGCAATAATCTCCCTAGTTCTATGATTATTGGATACTTTTGTAATATCAAATTCTCTCGAGCGAGTATTTGCCTTTTTTTATTTCAGTTTCCATGTTCCACAAGAATAACTCCACATGCTTTTTGATGGCATCTCATTTCGCTACTTTCTATTACAATCACGCGTTGCCTTGCTGATCATTTTCTCGCATTTCTTATTTTATACGTTTTGCGATGGTATTTTTTTTTCGAAATGGAAACCCGCCACGAATTAAACAGGTGAAAATATTTTAAAATGATGATACCTTGCAAATATTGGGAAAATGATTCAGTATTCAAAGACGTAAAATATTTATATGAATATATATAGGTATATACTAAACTTCATTTCTTATGGCACAGAGCCACTATAACTACTTAAATTATTATACTAGCTTGAGTGTCTAGCTTATTCGGTCTCTTATCATACGCTTCTCAATATCTTTGTGGAACTCCCTTCCTCTTACTTGCTTCAAACAAATTAGATTCAACGTCAACCGTTATCTTCTATTGACTTGAACCCCGTTTATCTTTTATCCTTTCCTCAATCCTTCTATACTCAGTCTTTTCTCTCAATTTTATTCCCTGTAACCCTTCCTAGCTAGTGGCACCTTGCCTGGGGGTGAAATGCTTAAAAAAAGATATATGCTGTTTAATTATTGATATTTATTAAGCTTAGTTCTTGTTGATTGATTCGCTTTTTAAAGGCTTATCAACCCTTTGCAGTTTATTTACTACCAGAAAATTTTTAAAGATTGTAAAAATTTTTTGAGATAAAAATTATTTAGTGATACAAGTTTTACTAATTAACCCATAACTGGAGGAGAAGAGGCGGGTTCATGCCTTTCGCAACGGTATTTGCTTGTAAGTGAATACAACGAAACCAACCGGAAGTGAAACTTGGTTCTCCGATTAACATTTCCTAGCCATTATACAACCGGCACAACCAAGCTTACAGCACCTCGCATTCCCAAGCGGTCACCCATCAGGATGCTGACAAGGCTCAACGTTACTTAACTTCGGTAATCGTACGGTAATCGGTGTTTCAACGTGTCGTATCCGTAAGCCTTAATCGCTGTGAATATTGTATGAATTTTGTTAAATGTGATGTTTTAATAACATGGCGTCGTTTGGCCAATTTCTTGCTCTTTGTTCTCCTGTTTTTTTTTTATCACAGCGTTTCGACTGTGTAATCTCTGATCTTCAGATGTCTATTAAGTTCTGCAATATCTAATGTTGCTCTGTGGAAACATGTACTTTATCCTCTCTTATTCGTCAAGACTGCGAATGTGCATTCTTGGAATTGCCTTCTCGTCATGTTTTGATACGAACTCGTTGATTTTCGCATCCACTCCAACCTCTTCGACAATGCTTTGTAACGCAAATTCCTTTTTGCCCTCTTGATTTAAAAGCTTACACACGCTAGACTTCCAGAGGGCAGTATGCGTACAGTTTCATTCAACCTTCTGATTGTTCCTGATTGTTTTCCGTTTTCCTGTTTTACTAAGCTTAGTTAATTCTAGCATAAGATAATTATTTGTGCCGAATGAAGACAGAATTCTCTTTTGAGTGGTAATATTCTGCTAAACTAGCTTTCTCACCACCGCTTTATAGCGAAGCTTCAAATTAGTACTAAGCTCAGTTTAGTAATCAGAGGCACACATTGAGGATTATAGAATGGTCTATCGTCTACATGTGTTTATAAATATATTAATTTATTTCTATCATTTGCCACGTTTTGCTGTTCAGCGCTCATACATCGCTTGAAACTGTTCGGATGTAAAAAGTCTTTTTAAACTTAATATTCACCAACATACACGATATTCATAACAATCAACGCTAGGTCTCTCTTTTAAATGATTTTAGAAATGTGCTTTGTCAACTATCAGAAATTTCTTTCTTGTGTATGTGTTTTTTTTTTCACCATTAAACTTCCATGATATCGAAGATTTAGTTCTCTTGAGTTGCTGCAGATATTATATAAAACATTGGCACCAAAATAAATAAAACTCTGGTTCAAACCTGAAAGAAGCATTATCTGAACGGAATATAAAAGCTATTCTCAGAGTGGCCATAGGAGAAATCGAAACCAAATGACCGAATTAAATTGGTCGTAAATTTAAAAAAAAAAAAAAATAAGTTAAAACCATTTCAATTTTGGTCATTTACTGCAGTTTTAGGAAAAGTTCAAAAGTTCAAAATATAATTTTTCTTTGAGAATAAGTGAGTTTTCCGTGGTCTATTGCATTCGGATGTACAATCGAATCATTTTGTAAGAAGAATTAAAGTAAAAAGAAAATTATTGGGATGAATGTGTTGCATAGTGCAAATCTTTGTACAAACATATGTGTTTGTAGCTACCGATATACAAATTGTGTGAATAATTATTTTCGTATCTGTATCTATATCTAAGGTGAGGTATTATGTACACTATAAACATTGCTCGGACTATCATCCTCATCCTTGTTGCCATATTTGGAATGTCTAACTAAACCCTTTATTTCGCTCGCTGGGGTAGACTGTTCTAGTTCCACGTGCCATGTCTTTTGGATGTCATCAGCTATCTCCTGTTAATTCCCCTCTCCAACTTCTCCACCACCTTAACCAGGTATTGAACTCACATGGATGTAACCCAATGTGCCATGTATCCCTGAGGACATCTGTGTATGAATTTCTGGGTATTATAAACATAATATCTTCAGCGACATTTTTTTTACCAGTGCTTATATTGCAATTTTCGTTGATATTATTGCTTTTCTCTGGCACTCCTTATTACTGGTTCCCATATTGTATTCATTTCTATGCCTGGTCGGCCCAGGAAACTTTTGTGGCCTAGTATATGTGCTGATTCCTTTAGTTTACGAATTTTCCAATGATGTTCTATGTCCATGTTTCATAATTACTTTAAATTACAAATGTTACTATTTTTCCCGAATACCGACGGAGCCATTTTATAAGATTCAATGCTTTGGATATTCTCACACGATAACATTTCTCCATTAAAAAAATATTAAATTATATCGCTTTAGTACATTGACGTTATGCCGAAAGTTACAAATCTGCAAATGATTGAAATTAAAATCCACGTTTTTTTTTAAAGGAAATAAAGCTTTTATTTTTTTTTTATCCTAAATCTCGGTACGGTTGAATTAATTGCCATTGCCTGTACTTAATAACTGGAAATTTAACATTGTTTTTTTTTCTAAAGGTATTGGAAAAATAAATACGTGTGGTTCGTGTAATTGTCGTCAGTTGATAATAGCTTAAATGATTCCTGTTTAAATGATTATTGCATAAAGGCAAGGGTACACTTTCATGCCGGATTTATTTAACAGTTACAGCAAAGCGATCATAAGAAAACTAGAAGGTCTATCAGGATTTATTACTGACAAGCATAATCTTAACAAGATAACAAAACGCAAATGAGACCGCGTTGATAACAGACACAAAAAAAAATCTGTAGGAAGGTAGTAAAGAAAATTGCAAGAAAAGACTAATCATCAAATGTAAGAAAACAAAATGTATGGTCGTTAGCAAAAAGACCAGCCCAAGATATGAGCCATAATTTGGAAATGTCAAAATCAATCAAATATCTAAATTTAACTAAGAGGTTTTATAACAGATGATGGAAAATGTGGCGCAAAAATCTGAATTTACATTGAAATTGCGATAGATTCCTTTCAAACTTAAAGAAAGTATTAAGAAACAGAAAATTTTCATTAGAAGCAAGGAAAAGGTGCTGAAACTGGAACACTTAATTGTAAACAAAGAAAGGAGTACTACTCTAGTATGTAATATCAATCCTCCAATATAGTAGTGAATGCTAAGATCTTCTCACAAATAAAGAGGAGACTTGAATCAACAAATGTGTGGCTCTACAGAAGGATGCTGAGAATACCATGGACGTAACATATGAGCAACAAGGAAGTTTTAAAGGAAATGGAAACAAAAAAAGCATGCTTATACATAAACCCAGAAAGAGGCAGTTGAAATCTTTAGGAAAAAAGGGCATCGGGAGTTTAACACTTAACAAGATATGCTGAAGGCAAGTTGTATAGAGAAAAAGCTAACGAGATTGTACAATTATATGGTAGAACATAAACTGGGAGGAATAACAACGGAAAAATCTTACTTAGAGATACCAAGAATAGGAAGATCTGGAAATCCATGATCACCCAGATTCTGGAGGGACATGACATGTAAAAAAGATGTTACATGATGTTTCGTAAGCAAAAGATCCTGGAAAGATAAGTTTATGCACAAAAACCATATACGTTTTTCAGAAGTATAATCAATAAATCAGGAAGAAAATATGAATATTGGTTTCAAATTCTTGATAAGCAGGGTAGCTAAAACACGGTTTGAGAAAGAATGACAATTTAATTACACATGATACGCAGGTTGGTATTAGTTTAACTGGAGGGCGAAAGTAAAACCTTATAAATGTAGCGCAACTTCGTCATAGCAAAGATAAAAATTGTGCCTGGTGACGTCACTTTGGCTCGTAAGCTGAAAATTACCCAAGAGGTCATCTGTTCGTGGGTTTATATGCAAAATTCGCATTCCAGAGGTCAATGTTTATGTAATAAAATTGATATTAACGATTCTGGTATAATTTTCAGGATGTACTTATCACGAATATAAGATGTCAGCTTCAGTTTATAACGTCCGAAACATTTACAATATCTTATTTTGCATTATGGGATTGTATTATGGAACTCGAGGATTAAACATCGCATTGTAAATAAATATATATAATAGTCTAGTTATTGATATTTATTCTTTAATTGTATATATATATATATAAATATTGTAACTGGCTGTAAAAAGGTATAACTTCAAAAGCTATATATGGCTTGTAAAAAAGCTATAACTTTAAAAGATATATGGCTTGTAAAAAAAAAAGCTGTATCTTCAAAAGCTATATATCGCTTATGAATAAGCTGTAACTTCGGTTAAAGAAAAGTTAAGTGAATGATTATTATTTTTCGTAACATTCTTGAAAATCGATATATATATATATATATATATATATATATATATATATATATATATATATATATATATATATATATACATACAAAAGGGTGTTCCAAAGGCTTGGACCGATTTTAAATGTGCATTAAGTTTGAGCGTCTAATGATTTTTTCTTTTTCTTTCAGATTTGGCCGACATTTAGGCGATATTATTTTTCACACATAATTGCCATGTCTTGTATAACATGATCCAATAACAGTGATTAATTTACTGCTAACTTTGATCCGTCTTAATGAAACACCCTTATATATAATCCATCTTAATGAAACACCTTTTATATATATATATATATATATATAGCTAAGGGACAGACTAAAACCGATATAGTGGTGTACTAGGAAAAGATGACGATAAATAGATTTTTGGTGAAAGCATTAGTGACGTATGCCTGTGTCACTAATGTAGTTGGCAGGTGTATGACCATGCTTTGCCTCACTCGACATCCGCCTGGTGTGTTGAATTTATATATTAAATAAGCAGCTAAGACAAAAACAACTACAGAAATCGCAAACATACATGTATAATGTCATTGCCGATAAGTATGTTTATATCTTTATACATATACTCACATTTAGAAATCTAAATAGGGATAATAATATTTATAGAGAGATGTTTATATACTTATATACACGAAATAAATCTCAAATCCTGAATAGATCAGTCTCTTTTGACGTTTGAGAAGGATAAAAGTTTTCAAATTTTCCAAACTCTACGTTTGTATGGATTTAGAATCTTCCTTGATGTTTTTGATTTCGATCAACGCAAACGTCATGAACATCGGATTCTTCTGTTGAATAATAAAGGAAATCAGATCACATTCAGTTGTCTGAGAAACTCTCGAGTGGACAAATCGAAGTAACATGTCACAGACACGAAAATATAATGAATGCTTCTACAAGAATTGGGCGATCATTTTGAGACAGAAGAAAATATTAACTGCAAGGAAAGAAAGTAGTAGGAGAGATTAAAATTTGTTTAAAAGCAATGCTTTTTGTAACCGACCTAATTTTTTT